TTCTCTCCAAGAAATAGTCTTTTTACTCGTGATTTATGTAAATAAAACATGTGAAATTTAGTTGAAACATTTTAGCCGTTTTTAGCCGGTTTTATTTGCCAATTTAGCCGGTTCGTCCAAAATGTTCTGGCAACACTGCATATAAGTATATATATGAGTGAACATACGCACCCCAAGCATGCAGAGCGCCGCTCTGAGAGCGTGACAACACACACATTCATACATAGTACATGTTTATACGTACAAATCGCGTGCTGTGGTGTTGATGGATATTCAACATTTGAAAGCAAATTTATATGCCTGGGTGTAGCTGAGTGCGCAAAGATGCATGCCACAATTTGTTGATATCCAGAGACGGTCAGGGTTCGAATTCCAATGCAGGCAAACCATGCAAATTAAATATTTTTTTTTTTAGTTTTTGTCTTGATTATTCACTTCACGGATGCTTTTTCAGACCGAACGCGGTCATTTTAATATGCGCGTAATTGGATTGAATATTTACCAATATACAGTACTTTCGTTGACGTTTATAGTAAGATCAATTACGTTTCTATTTGATTTTAATATTTTTTTCCCTCAGTGTATTGAAGCTACCCTGCAGTGAAAAGCCAAACCAGTTAGAAAATATATTAGTTCATTAACTAGTATGTGCCTACCAGTTCGACAATTTCGAGGAACTTAGGCGATTAGCGACATCTGCCTTTGAATTGCCAAAGCCAAAAATAAAACGCAATTAATTGCTTTTCTTACAAATGTCGGCTGTGGCGTCACGTGAAGACTACTGGTTCTGGTTCTGAAATCGCAGGTTCGAGGCCGCTTGGAGGTGGTTAAGATTTTTAAAGTTAAATAAATGTAAGTAAAAATAATTTATTCAATTTATAAATAAATAACAAATTTGAAAATCTAATTGCGTTGCAAGAAAAGATTTAGGAAGAAATATAAAAACAAAGAAATTAAACAAAAATATTTTTTTATTAAATTAAAAAATTACAATAAACAGCATAAACAAAAAAATAAATTTATAAAAAATAAAAATAAAATAAAAAATAGAAAATAAAAAAATTTTACCTGCGCCAGGATTTGAACCTGGGACCTCAGGCTTACCACGCGAGTGCTCTTCTCTGTCGGCCATTGTGACTGCTGGAGCGTCGCGAGCAAAAAGGCACACTTATGCTTTTCACGGGCATGAAATGGCAGACTATCTCATCAACTGGTATGATGCTACTAGTATTTATACTAGTAGATGCTGATGCATAGCCTGGCAATTGACATCTCGTAGGACATCGCAATGTTAAAAATACCAGTCGCTAACATTGAAAAAGGATAGAACGTGAACTAGTTCGGCTGAAACGCAAACCGGTAGAATTCTAGTTCACAACTAGTAGCTTTCCCTGCAGGGTAATAACTTGCTTTCTCCACTACAGTCCTTAGACCACAGCTGGGCAGCGTCTGCCCGGCGGGCGACTGCGCGGCATATTCGCGTATACATACACGCTCTGCTTCCCTGCAGGGAAAGCTACTAGTTGTGAACTAGAATTCTACCAGTTTGCGTTTGAGCCCAACAAGTTCACGTTCTATCCTTTTTCAATGTTAGCGACTGGTATTTTTAACATTGCGATGTCCTACGAGATGTCAATTGTCAGGCTATGCATCAGCATCTTCTAGTAGAAATACTAGTAGCATCATACCAGTTGATGAGACAGTCTGCCAATTCATGCCCCGTGAAAAGCATAAGTGTGCCTTTTTGCTCGCAACGCTGCAGCAGTCACAATGGCCGACAGAGCAAACCACTCGCGTGGTAAGCCTGAGGTCCCAGGTTTAAATCCTGGCGTAGGGAAAATTTTTTTATTTTCTATTTTTTATTTAATTTTAATTTTTCATAAATTTATTTTTTTGTTTAGGCTGTTTATTGTAATTTTTAAATTTAATAAAAAAAATATTTTTGTTTAATTTTTTTGTTTTTATATCACAAGCATTTCTTCCTAAATGTTTTTTGCAATGCAATTAGATTTTCAAATTTGTTACTTATTTATAAATTGAATAAATTATTTTTACTTACATTTATTTAAATTTTAAAAATCTTAACCACCTCCAAGCGGCCTCGAACCTGCGATTTCAGAAACACAACCAGTAGTCTTCACGTGACGCCACAGCCGACATTTGTAAGAAAAGCAATTAATTGCGTTTTACTTTTGGCTTTGGCAATTCAGAGGCAGATGTCGCTGATCGCCTAAGTTCTTCGAAATTGTCGAACTGGTAGGCACATACTAGTTAATGAACTAGTATTTTTTCTAACTGGTTTGGCTTTTCACTGCAGGGTCATTCAACCGCACGACTTGTGCGCACGCACACAGTGACATTGATTGGACGCACACTACAAAAATGCTCTGCCGAAGCTGCCCACCTCTGCTTTAGACTAACAGCCTAATTCTGTGCACTTGATAAATTCACCATCTTGTTTATTTATCAATATTGACAATTTATCAAGTGTTTCGTATTCTATGTCAAAAATAAAAAGCTTTTTTCTTGATAAATTGTCAAGATGTCAAATGCCTTTGACAAATTAACAAATTTTTGAACGATTCAAATTGAAATTTTAAAGCTGCTTCAAACATTTCAAAATTGTGTTAACTAATTAGTAAAAATGGAAGAAGAAATGCTTCTTTTACTATTATTGTGGGAAGAAGAGGAACATGAACAAAATAGAGACCGCTCGCGTTATTTAAGGTCCTTGAGGGATGCCAGTGATCCATTTTCCTTGAGTGAGAACGTGTTCATGCAACATTTTCGTTTGACCCGCCAATTGTGCCGGAGTCTTATTAATGATTTGGAACCGCATGATGACCAAAATACCTCATTGCCTCTTACTGTACGCGTCTTGGCAGTATTAAACTTTTTTGGCAACGGATCGTATCAGAAATGCGTGGGAAATAATTGCAATTTGCCAATGAGCCAGTCGTCCTTTTCAAGAAGTTTGCGGGCTGTGACAAAGCTCATTACAAGGGTTAAAGGCGGAGAAATTAAGTTTCCCAGTTCGATTGAGGAAGAAACCATAATTAAAACAGGGTATTAAAAGCGAATTAACTTTTATAGAAAAACAGTGTCATCTGAAATCTTGTGTTTTATCAGATTTTTTCGAAAGTTTGGAATAAAAAGCACAGTAGGAGCAATTGACTGCACCCACATCGCTATTGTTGCTCCGCCGTCTAACAATGTAGAACGCCCGCTTAATTTGTATTTAAACAGAAAGGGGTTCTACAGCATTAATGTCGAAGCGGTAAGTTACAATTTCTTTGACAAATACAATTTATATGAGTTTTGTTTCGTAGGTATGCGATCATCGTTTGTGCTTTACATTCCTAAACACAAAATTTCCTGGGGCGACGCATGATTCTGGGATATGGGCAACGTCTGACCTACGGGAGCAACTAATACGTCAGCATACCAGGACTACTGTTCACCAAAGAGAATCTTGGCTTATTGGTGATCAAGGCTACCCATTGGAGCCATGGCTTCTTACGCCAGTAGGAACTCCAAATAGCCATAAAGAAGTCAAATACAACAAATTGCATGCGTCTGCTAGGAACAGCATAGAACGAGCATTCGGAGTTTTAAAGTCCCGCTTTAGATGTTTGCTAAAGCACCGAGTGCTTCATTATTGCCACGAAACAACATCACTCATTGTCGCGAGTTGTGTTATCCTTCACAACATAATAACAAAAGCGGGCATTGAAGCGATGGAGGTGGATAACGATGTCGTAGAAGATAACGATTCGGCAATGAATTCCCTTGATTTCTCGCAGTATACCCGCGAAGGAGAGAGAACAAGATCCAGATATATTTCAACACTATAATCAAATTCTTAATGCTGAAAAAATTTAAAAAAAATATTGACTTTTTCACTTTGAACAAAAGTACTTTATTACACTCAAATTAAATGGGTTACGAACTACGTTTACAGTTCAAGATTATAGTGAAATCACATTACATTTTGTTTAAGTTATTATATTATCATTCTAAAGTACATACAGTGAACCAAATATAAACTGGGACGCGACATTTTAGCAAGTTTTAATTATTTTTCTTAAGTTTATTTAATGTTTAATGTTTTTGTTGAAAGTATTACTTAAAAAACATATAAATCCAAATTTCAGACTTTGTGCAAAAATTATGAAAATTCTGCCAAATTTCACCAAAAATTTCTAACTTTTTAATCAGCACATTTAAAAAAAATATGCAGCTTTGTAGTCCATTAAAATTGAGTTTAATAAGTGCAAATTGGAAGTAACTACGACTTGCCGTTGATATTTGACAATTTTGTATGTTGACAGTGCTCCGCATTTTTCTTCCATATTAAAAAATGTTCGAAGAAATTTCTATGGAAAAAAATGCGTGACACCGTCAACAAAAAAAAATTACAAAAAATCAAACCTAAGTCCTAGCTACTTCAAATTTGACCTTATTTACTCAAATTTAATGGACCCCAAAGCTACATTTTTTCTAAAGATGCTGATAAAAAGTTAGAAATTTTGGTGAAATTTTGCAAACTTTCATTATTTTTGTACACAGTCGGAAATTTGGATTTATATGGTTTTTGTTAAGTAATCAGCTATACTTTCATACAAAAATATTAAACATTAAATTAGCCAAAGAGAAATAACCAAAACTTGATAAAATGTCGCGTCCCAGGTTATTTTGCTTCACTGTATGTATTTATACATATGTATATATGTTACTTTTTGAAGTATGAACTACTCGACTCAAACTCAATATTGTACAGGGATGTGCCTAATATGCTCATCATGTTTTGAATTAGGAATTTTATTCGGCATTTTTTTTATAAAAGTATGACTCATCTAACAAAATCGAAACTTTAAACTTTATGCAAAAAATAGAAACTTTTAACAAAGTTTCATCAAAAGTACAAACGTTTTAATTAGAATTTATAGAAAAAATAAATAGCCTAATTAATTTTATATACTAAAGTGCAAGTTTAATATTGCTAAAAGATCCTGTTGATTTTTGAAAAATTGTTTGCTGACGGTGTTACGTACTTTCTTCCATGTAAGAAAAACTTTCGTACATATTTTGTTTGGAAGAAAATGCGTAACATAGCTTATATTATATAAAAGTAATGTAAAACTGAAATTCTTACGTTTTTGAGGACTCCATTCGGCAGTTTCTTGCACTAAACAGCTGAGCTCTGTTTACATTACGATTTTCACCATAGTGTGGGGAAAAGCACAGGGTGTAAAAGCTTTTTAGTTTTATCAAGTTATGCACAGAATGCCGAAAAGATTTAAACTTGATAAAAATCGTGATTATTTGTCAGCTTTCTGTTAAATTGTCAAGTGCACAGAATTAGGCTGTAAAGCACAGTTGTGCTACCGCTATGATTAAGATTTTAGATGCCATTAGAATGCCATTTGATAATAGTGATTTAACTCTTCTCTGCCTGTTAGACTTTGCTAAGGTATTTGACTCGGTCGACCATACTTTGCTCTGCTGGAAACTTATGCATTTCTTTGCATTTTCTGGTAGTTCCATTCAACTTCTATGTAGCTACCTTGTGGGAAGAGTCCAGCAAGTTAAAGGTAGGGTATGCTAAATGGACGACACGCCATTTCTTTAAATGAAATTAACTGCTGCTATATGTACATACGTATGTACATATGTATGTTTATACAAAACGCAAGCAAACATTTTGCTTGCATAGTCTTCTGTTCTCTTTCATTGCAAGTTGAATTATTTTAATATCTAATGCAAAATTTTGTACATAAAATAAAATAACACTTTTTAACATACAACGCTTTTATAAATGGACTAAAAATTAGAAAATAAAATAATGTAAAAAAAATATTTTTTAAAAACAAGCTTTTATTTAACATGTACAATCAAAGGAATAAAATAAAGTAGTGTAACAAAAGATTATTTAGCAAGAAAATTTTGTCAAAACTGCAGTAAAATTAATAAAGTAAAATAAGTTAAGGTCTCGTTAAAGTTACTAAAAGCCATTTAGTGAAAGGAGTTATTCAAACTCTAATGAAAGTTACTAACAATTTGTACTAATTTCCTTCGTTTTTAAAAAAGCTTGTCGGCGAATTCAGCGTACATGGATTATTGGTGAGGTATGTATATGTATATATGTATGTATGCAGATATTTAGATGCCGGTTTGGTATTCGCGCGACAAGCTTTTTTAAAAACGAAGTAAATTAGTACAAATAGTTAGTAATTTTCATTAGAGTTTGATTAACTCCTTTCACTAAATGGCTTTTAGTAACTTTAACGAGATCTTAACTTATTTTATTTTATTCATTTTACTGCAGTTTTGACAAAATTTTCTTGCATAATAATCTTTTGTTACACTACTTTATTTTATTCCTTTGATTGTAAATGTTAAATAAAAGCTTGTTTTTAAAAAATATTTTTTTTTACTTATTTTATTTTTAACAATATTTTGGTATATAAATAAAACATAGTTCATAAAAAATAAAAGTGTCATTCATTTTAAAACGAGTGTACACTTCATTGTACACAGAAGCCAATAATTTATTTTATATTTTTGACATTGTTGAATAGCAATAATGAGATCATTTCCATCTTCAGTCTTTAAATAGTCAAATAATTCTATACGTTTAATTTTAAAATTACTTTTAATTTGAAGCTCACTTTAAAAAATTTTAAGTAGAAGCCAGTTTCTCTCTTTGCGCCAGGAAGCAAACCTTATACTCCCAGATGCTTCGTTTGAGTGTGGTATTACAAAAAAAAATACTCGTTTCAAACTGTGGAAAAGTACCACTATTTAACGACTTCATCTATGTTTCCTCGTGGCTTAAATTAACTTCAACTACGCAAAAACTTTGAAGGACTAAGAATTCGCTGAAAAGAGTATCTAAGAGTAAGAGTAACTCTATGTCTTGTATGCAAAACTCTTTTACAAGGTCAGTAAATTGTGAAAAAAGAATTGTAAGTTATAGGCAAAAGCCATTCGAATATCCAAATTTGTTGTTATTAAACTGAAATTGATTTTCGAGATAACTACCAACTAGAGATGTTGCGAATGTGGAATTTTAGACATCCGCGGATGCGAATGCGGATGCGGATGTTTAAAAGCTAACATCCGCGGATGCGGATGCGAATGCGGATGTCAAGTATTTTTAAGAAATAAATTAGGTGATTTAGGTAAATAAAAAAGGGTAGTAATTTTTTTATAATGTTTTTTTTTTTAGTACATGAATTTAAAAATTGGAACATTGTACTTAATAAAAACTTTTTATTAAAAAGTAGGTATTGTTGTTGCCTTTTCTGGTTACAGCCTGTTTCTTAAAGGGTCGTGAATCAATGCTACGCCTCTAAATAACTACTCGCTCGAGGCGACAAACTTTAAACTTGACAAAATGGTAAATTCTTCTCGATTGACGCTGCACCAGTTGAGAGGACTTTCAGTTATATTTATTTTTTTTTTTGTGGTGCAATAATTACTTTTTGAGAATTGCGTCGCGGCTGTAAATGTTGGATGTATACTCCTGACTAGAGATGGGCAAAAGTCGTGCTTTTTTACGTGACACGTTGTGTCACGCTTTTTCACGCGTGAGCGGCTTTCAGTGAAAAATCACATCCGTGATCGTGCGTGCCTGAAATTTTCGCGTGCGTGAGTGTGCGTGAGTTAAATTTTCGTCAATCACGTCATTTTCACATATGTATGTATGTACTTATTTGTAGTATTGTAATCTAAAATAAATTCGTAAGACACGGTGGAACTCGTTATTTATATTGCTATCAAGCATTCACGAAAGGCGACAAGAAGTTTAACAATTATTAATAGAAAGAAATGAGCTTCATAAACTATCTAAAATAAATGCAAATTTGTTGGAAAAGTTGTTAGAATTTCTGCGCGGATTTAAATCCAACCATCCATGAGCACGTTCTGTGGTACAAAAAACTACAAAAGCATTGTTGGGCGAATGCTTCTGATTCTGAAGTCATCATCGATTTGAAGAAAAACACAACTACTGCTTTAAATAAAAGATTCCAACCAAGTTCAATCCATTTTCTGGGATTGTTTTTAAATCCTCCGTTCAAAAAGTTACAGTTTATATCTGCAGAACAGCGCAAACGTATAATAGGGACCGTAAAAGCAATGCTTCAAGATAACTTAGGTAGACATGCAGACTAAGGTAGACATGCAGGTTGGCGAAAATCCTCCTAGATATATCCTCCAAGCGGGTGCCGACTGGGCAATGGGCATCGTTGCTTACACCGCTGTGGCAAGGTAGGTTTTTTCCTATGGCCGCAGTGGTGCAAGCAGGCGGGGCCTAGCCAAGGCCGAGGTATAAACTCCCCTGCCTCGTCTAGGTCTAGTGGTAGGCCGTACGGGCTCGCCCAAGGGGGGCTGGGGTGGGCATACTTAGGCTATTTCTAAGGGGTACCTGGCGGTTGGTATAAAACGCCCCCCTAATCCAGGGTGTCATGCGTCACCGTGCCCATTGGATGGTTTGCAGTCAGGGGGTTTTCCGACTGTATTCTAACGGCGCCTCCCGGATACCTGTCCGCCTCCGGGAGTAACGGTGGACTTACCTCAGCATGGGGCTCTGCTGAGGCCGACCGTTTTTCCCCTTACCCATATTTTCGGTCGCCGAACGGTTTCGGCTCAGTAGGCGACCAACGAACCAGAAATGATGAACTCAAAAAATGTAGCCCCGGATCCCTGCACGGGTAAAAATGCCGCCGACGGACACGGCGTTAAAGTCTGTCTAAAAACGACATCTTCGGTAGCCGCTGGAGCGGTCCCGAAGGAGTCTAAACGGCTAACAATACTAAATGTTGCGCCCGGCGTCAGTAACAACAAACCCCTGGTGGGTAGTGGTCAACTGGCGTCTGGGTTGCAAGCGGAGCCTGCACGGCCAATTGACCTCTCGTGCCAGTCGTCCACATCTCTGGAAGCTGCGAGTACACCCCTTGAGGGCAGCTCCAAAGCGGCGCCGGGAGAAGGCGATACTGGCACCCGGAAGTCCTGCACGGACAGCACCACCGACCGCAAGCCCCTTGAGGGTAGGAAGTCGGATCAACGCAAAGGCGTCCCAGGTCCCAGTGGTTCGAGGACCAAAAAAGAAGTCCGACCAGCAGTCAGGGCGAAAAGGGACAGAAGAGCCGCTTCTAGACTACTGAGGAAGTTCGGCAATGACCCGGTTCCCGAGAGTATGAGGGAAGTGGTTGAGAGGGCGAGGGGCGTTCTCTCCGAAAGTCGTGAGCGACCTCAGGAAGGAAATGCCGCCAACAAACCTGCACCCACTCACTCTCGTCCTAGGGAGCTGGGCAGCAAAAGGCAAAGGTCAGCAGATAACGTGGATGCTGCTCCTAAGAGGCCCAAAACCTCTAACGTTAACAGCCCTCTTAACCCTCCAAGGGCTCTGAGGGCTTTCAGTGATGTGGCCAAGGACCACTTGATCCTGGCGGTTATGGATAGGGGGCACCCGGAAGGAAACCTGACGGCCGACAACTGGAGGTCCGTCCTGGTGGGTCTCTGCCGGGTGTACAAGGAGATTCTCCGGAAAAATCCTGGCCCTGCGCCAACTGTCCGCGATGCTGGTCTCTACCAAGGCCGCATCAAATTAGTTTCCTGCGCTGATGAACGGTCGGCGCGACTTTATAAGGAAGCAATTTCTTCTCTTGGGGAACTGTGGCCCAGCGCTGACTTGGTGGCAGTGCACAGGGATGAAATCCCTTGTAAGCCGCGAGCCAGAGCCTGGGTCCCAGAGGAACCCTCGAGTCCTGAGGAGATTCTGGATATCATCCAGGTCTCAAATGATGCACTACCGGCCCTTGATTGGAAAGTAGTGAAGGTCAGCGAGGTTAGGGAGCAGCAGCGTTACATCACCTTGGTGATAAACGAGGAGTCTCTCCCGATCCTTGCTGACTGCAAGGGAGTAATTAGCTACGGCTTTTACTCCATTACCCTCAAAACCCAAAAAGGGAATGAGGGTAAAATGATAGAGCCGGGGAACACCGAGGGTGAACCCGAGGCTGGCAATCTTCCGCCTAAAGGCGGCCCTATATCTGGAGCAGAAAACGCCTTGAGCGGTCCTGCTTCTAACCAAGAGGTCCAGGAGGTTCTCGAGGCCACTTGCCCGGTGGTGAGGTCAGACTCGGCAGCGGAAACAGATAGCGATACGCAATCTGTTTCTGGTACTTAACCGGTGGACGAGGGAGTTCGGGAACCTGCTTCTGACGTCGGACTCAGAGGACGCCGATGATACCATCGTTGAGGCGTTCGATAGAACCCCGCCAGAAGTGATGGACGGGGACGATATTTTATAAGCTGTGGATGAAGGTTCTACAAATAAACCTTCATCACTCTAAAGCAGCTTCTGCAGCTCTGCTCCTGCACCTCAGTGATAGAGGGGAGGAGCTAGTTTTTGTCCAAGAGCCCTGGGTTGTTAAGCACAGGGTTTGTGGACTTAATTCTGATGCTTACCGCATAGTGTCGGCACCTGTGGCAGGTAAGATCAGGGCATGTATATTAATCAAAAAAAGTATTTCT